TCCCCCCAAATAAATTAATTTTTTCTACGAAATAAATTAATTTTTTCTACGAAATAAATTTTTTTTACAAAAGAAATTAATTTTCCATGAAATCAATTAATTTTTCGAGGAAATCGATTAATTTTCCAGGAAATAAATTATTTTTTCCAAGAAATAAATGGATTTTCTACAAAAAAAAAATCAATTTCCTACGAAAAAAATTCATTTTCCATGAAATAAATTAATTTTTTTCCACGAAGTAAATTATTATTTTTTTTTTTCAGGAAAGAAATTAATCTTCTACAAAATAATTTTTTAAAAATTAAATTAATTTTCCCCCAAAATAAGCCCGCTTCCCCCCAGAAAAATTCAGTTTTGCCTGAAAGAAATGAAACTTCCCCCAAAGAAATTCTTTTTTTGCCCCAAAATAAAGTGATTTTCCCCCAAAAAGAATTTAATTTTCCCCTGAAAGAAATTAAATTTTCCCAAAATAAATCTTTTTTTCCCCAAAATAATTTAATTTTCCCCCAAATAAATTTAATTTTCCCCCAAAATAAAAAAATTTTCACCCAAATAAATGATTTTTTCCCCCCAAATAAATAACTTTTCCCCCAAATAAATTTAATTTTCCCCAAAAATAAAAAAATTTTCAGCCAAATAAATTATTTTTTTTCCCCCAAAAAAATAAATTTTCTCCAAAATAAACCAAATAATCTCAAATAGGGATTTTGAATGGGGGGGAAAAAATAGGGATTTCACCAAAAATTGGTAAAAAAATCAGGATTTTGGGCAAAAATGGGGAATAATAGGGATTTTAGGAAAAAATTTGGGGGGGAAAAGGGGGATTTTGGGAAAAATTGGGGGAAATAGCGAATTTTTGTAAAAATGGGGCAAAAAATGGGGATTTTTGGGCAAGAATGGGGAATAAGAGGGATTTTAGAAAAAAATTTGGGGTGAAAATGGGGGTTTTGGGGAAAATTTGGGGGAAATGGAGATTTTTTGTAAAAATGGGGCAAAAAATGAGGATTTTGGGCAAGAATGGGGAAAAAATAGGGATTTCACCAACAATGGGTAAAAAAAATGAGGATTTTGGGCAAAAATGGGGAATAATGAGGATTTTAGGAAAAATTTGGGGGGAAATTGGGATTTTGGGAAAATTTGGGGGGAAGATGAGGATTTGGGGAAAATTTGGGGGGAAAATGGGGATTTTGAGAAAATTTTTTGGGTAAATGGGGATTTTGGGAAAATTTTTGGGGAAAATGGGGATTTTGGGAAAATTTGGGGGAAAGTGGGAAAATTTGGGTGGAAAAATGGGTATTTGGGGAAAATTTGGAGAAAAAAATGGGGATTTTGGGAAAATTTTGGGGGAAATGGGGATTTTGGGAAAATTTGGGGGGGAAAATTTGGGGGGAAATTGGGAAAATTTTGGGGAAAATGGGGATTTGGGGAAAATTTGGGGGGAACATTTGGGGAAAATTGGGAAAATTTGGGGGAAAATGGGGATTCTGGGAAAATTTGGGGGAAAGTGGGAAAATTTGGGCGGAAAAATGGGTATTTGGGGAAAATTTGGAGAAAATAATGGGGATTTTGGGAAAATTTAGGGGGAAAATTGGGATTTTGGGGAAAATTTGGGGGGGAAAATTTGGGAGGGAAAAATAGTGATTTTTTTTTTTGTAAAAATGGGGATTTTCCCCCCAAACAAATCAATTCTCTCCCCAAAAAATTATTTTTTTCCCTCAAATAAACCATTTTTCTCCAAAATAAACTAAATTTCCGCCCCCCCCCAAAAAAATAAATTTCCACAAAATCACTCAATTTTCTCAAAAACAAGTTTGTTTTCTCCGAAACAAATCGTTTTTTCCCCGAAATAAACCCAAACTCGGGTCCCAACCCCCTCCCACTTCCCCCCAGTTCGATTTTCTCACCGATTTTTTCTCATTTCTCCTTTTTTTCGCCTCTTTTCGGGGCCGATTTGAGTCGGTTCCGTTCCAGGTGTTTCCTGTTGACCGATCCCCCGGGGGTGGGGAGAAAAACAAAACCCCGAAACCGCACCCAAATCGGGGGTTTTTCACCCCAAAAATGCTGCTTTCCCGTGAGAAAATCACACCTACAGGCCTGGGCAACCCCGCAGGGGCCTGGACTAGCCAACAAAGGCCTCTATGAGGTTGCCCAGTCCTCTAGGAGGTAGACCAGGCCTCTCTGGGCCTACCCAGACCTCTACGAGGTAGACCAGGTGTCTAAGGCCTTGCCCAGGCCTCTAGTTGCTTGCCCAGGCCTCTATGAGCTTGCCCAGTCCTCTAGGAGGTTGCCCAGGCCTCTGTCTGCTTGCCCAGGTCTCTGCGAGCTTGCCCAGGCCTCTAGTTGCTTGCCCAGGCCTCTAGTTACTTGCCCAGGGCTCTAGTTGCTTGCCCAGGCCTCTGTGGGCTTGCCCAGGCCTCTAGCTGCTTGCCCAGTCCTCTATGGGACTACCCATGCCTCTGCGAGCTTGCCCAGGCCTCTAGTTGCTTGCCCAGGCCTCTAGTTACTTGCCCAGGGCTCTAGTTGCTTGCCCAGGCCTCTGTGAGCTTGCCCAGGCCTCTGTGAGCTTGCCCAGGCCTCTGTGAGCTGGGCTTGCCCATGCCGCTGCGGGCTTGCCCAGGCCTCTGCGAGCTTGTCCAGGCCTCTAGTTGCTTGCCCAGGCCTCTAGTTACTTGCCCAGGCCTCTAGTTACTTGCCCAGGGCTCTAGTTGCTTGCCCAGGCCTCTGTGAGCTTGCCCAGGCCTCTAGCTGCTTGCCCAGACCTCTAGTTGCTTGCCCGGGCCTCTGTGGGCTTGCCCAGGCCTCTAG